AGCTCGGCAGCCACGACGAGCTGGTGGCCGTGGCGCGCGCAGCCGACGCCGGAGAGCCCTCGGCGCCGCCCGCGTGGGCCAAGCTGCTCGAGATGGAGCTCAAGGTGGACTCGAACCTGGTGTGCGTCGCCGTGAGCGCCGATGGCCGCTTCCTCGCCGTGTCGGATCTGTACGAGACCAAGCTGTTTGAGCTCAAGGAGAGGCGCACGCCCGGCGCGCCCGTCGAGCTCGAGCCGCGCAAGGTCAAGAGCTTCGGGCGCGCCTTTGGCGGCGTCGAGCGCGTGGCGCCGAGCGCGAGCGCACTGCGCTTCTCGCCAGACTCGACGCGCCTCGTGCTGTGCTCGCTCACGGGTGCGTATGTGCACGTGCTCGAGCTGGTGTCGGCGCCCAACGGTGAGAGCTGCAAGCTGCTGCGCAGCTTCGGGCAGCATCGCCGTGCGGCTGCGGCGCTGCACTCCGCCGAGCAGAGGCAGCTCGCCGGTCGCAGCGGCGCTAACGGCGAGTCGTCCAACGGCCACGCCAATGGCGCAGGCGAGGGTGGAGACAGGGAGGAACGTGCGGAGCGAACGACGACGACGCTGATCCAGCACGCCGAGATCTCGTGCGACGGCGCATGGCTGTCGACCATCTCGTCGGACCTGCAGCACCACGTGTTTTCGCTCGACTCGCTCACGTACGGCCGCACGCTGCCGTCGCCGGCGGCGCTGCCGGCGGGCGCGGCCTTCCACCCCTCGATGGCCTCGCGGCTGAGCAGCGTGCTGACGCTCGTGTTTGCCGATAACAAGGTCGAGTTCTGGGATGTGGAGTCCGGCAAAGAGCTCACGTCGGCAGCGGGGTCCGGTGACACGCCCAAGCAGGTTCGCAAGCGCGGTGGTGCCGGGTCCGCTGGTACCGACATGCGCTCGGCACTCGCGCACGATCTCGGCAGCCTCAAGCACGCGCTGCAGCTGCGGCTGGCGGGCGTGCGCGACTTTGCGGTGAATGCGCTCTGGTGTGCGGATCCGGGCGCGGATCTGGCGTCGTCCACGCTGGTGGTGTACGGCGCCACGTGGATCGCCACTGCGCGTGCGTCGTCGGCCAACTCGGCGGTGGAGGAGGCGGATGGGGATGTGGAGATGGCGGATGCGGAGCGCGTGCCGACGCCCGGATCGATCGAGTGGACGGTGCGCACGACGGCCAAGTACCAGCCGCTGCTGCTCGTCGCGCACGTCCACGCTGCGCCGCACGCACTCGTCGTCGTAGAGAGACCCTACTTTGAGCTCGCCAAGAAGCTGCCTGCTGCGTTCCACCGCGGTGCGCGCTATGGTGCATAATCAGCGTGAGCCTGTAGACGCTCTGGGCAAGAATTCGTATCATCGAGCGAGACCTGTGCGTGTAGAGTGCTTTGCGCGAGCTGAGCAGTGTGGGTGCTTTGGGTGCGTGGTAAAGTGTGCAAGTCAAGTGCAGGAGGATGGCCGTTGAGCGGGCAGCGTCTCTTGACGGCGATGCGCATGGCGCGACTCGGGTCATCGAGACACCTTGTGAAGGTCAGTATTTGCTTTTTGCCACAAGGCTCTCGGATGTCGTTGTGTCGTCGTTAGACGTCGTGACAGACAAAGTGAAAGTTCGAGCGCTGCCTTTTCTCACGTACGAAGACCGTCCATCTCGTACAGGCAAGCCGCGGCATCGTCTTAGCACCGCGCGAATCACGACGATACGAGGCGCAACAAACACACCACAGTGGCCCCCGCGAGTGCAGTGTGCGAATCGCAGCTCCCAACGCACAAAACCCCTGGATCTTATTCATGTCAAGACGCTCGCTTTCATACGGCCATAAGATGAAGCGGCCGTCTTGTGCAACACGACAAGAAATCTCAACACTTCACAAAGAGCGACAGAGCAGCTGGTGTCGTCCCAAATCGTTTTACCATCACGCAAGAGAGGCGAATGCAGACGATCGATTGCGCATCGCGAGTGGTCAAACCCTTGATCGCAGCGTTTTACTTGGCTCCTTGCTTCACCTTGGGCTTCTTGCCCTTCTTCCCAGGCTGTTTGGTTGGCTGCTTTTTCGCCCCGATCTCGCTCTGGCCTTCGGCACCCTTGGCCTTCTTGGCCTGCTGCTTCTCCGGCTTTCTCGCCTCGAGCTCCGTCTGGGCGTCGGTATTCTTCTCGCCGACAATGTGCTTGTGCGCCTTGTGCTGCAACATCTCGTCGACCCACGCACTGCCCTGCAGCCCCGTCGCGGTCAGATACCGATGCGACACCCCGACCATCGTCACGGGCTTGGCCAACAGCCGTGCCAACCTCGCGCGCATTTCGGCCAACTTTGCCGCCGACTTGCTGTTGACCTTGGCAGTGGGAGCGTCCGGGTCGAGGTCGTCGTCGGAAACGGCCAGGTCGGCATCGCGCGCAAGCTGGGCGAGCCACGAATCGTCGTGTGCCTGCTTTGTTGCGGCGTGCATCTGCTTGTCGATCGCAATCGCCAACTCCACCCGCTCCCGAAGCAAAGCCAGCGTGGAAAAGGTAATGGGAAACGAAGGCGGATCGGGGCGAGAAAGGGCGCGCGAGAGTTGGCTCCACAACGTCTTTTCGCGCGGCTCGATCAGCGCCAGTGATACACCCGATGTGCCTGCACGCGCAGTTCGACCACTACGATGGATGTACGTATCCGCCGAACGCGGCAATTGGTAGTGCACCACGTGGTCCACCGATGGAATGTCCAAGCCTCGTGCAGCCACGTCCGTAGCCAGCAAAATGCAGTTGGACGCAGCAGATCGGAAGCGGTCGAGATTCTTCAGACGCTGCTTCTGCTGCAGCTGGCTGTGGATCGGATAACACACCAGCCCCAACTGCGCCAGGATGGGCGAAAGTCGTCGAATGCCGTCGATCGAGTTGACAAACACCAGAGATCGCCCCGGATACCGAAGCAAAAAGTAGTACAGGTACGCGTCCTTGTCCTTGGAAACGCACTCGAGCTTTGTCTCCATCAGGCCCGAGGGAAGGCCCTGTGCGGGGGTGAGGTCGACGATGGCGGGTGAAGAGCGGAAGTCGATGCGCTCCAACAGCTCCTCGAGCGTGCTTCCAGCAGATCGCTTCGAGTGACGCTTCTTGGTAAACTGCGGCAACTTTCGGCGCCGTTTGAGGTTGGTCTGCAGCGCTTTGCTGAGCGTGGCCGAAAAGACAAACGTCTGCATGGCCGCATTGGGCCTCACGCCCTCGCCCACCACTACTGCGCCACTCTCGCCGTCCGAGTCGCTCTGCTGGCCATCCTGGCCCTCCTTGGGTCGCTGCGCCTCGGCACGGTGGACGAGGTTGAGGATGTGCTCCATCTCGGCAAAGTGGCCCACCTGCACCATGCGGTCGGCCTCGTCGAGCACCAGGAATCGCACCTGCTTGATGCGCGCCGCCAGCTCGTCGTCCAGCCGCGTCATCTCCCACAATCGACCGGGCGTGGCGACGATGATGTCGACACCCGCACGGCGCGAGCGACCCTGCAAGAGTCGCCGCTGCTTGTGCTCGGACATGCCTCCACACACCACCGCGATCTGCGGCCGGCGCACCAACTTGGCGTACGAAAGCGTGTCGTCCACAAGACAGCTGGAGCGGATCACGTCGGTGAGGTGCGCAGACACCTGAAGCGCAAGCTCGCGCGTGGGGCACAGAATCAGTGCGCCCAGAGGTGGCGGTACGTCGCCGTGGGCAGGGGCCGAGGCGACGTTTTCGGCATTGTGGAAGAGATAGTTGAGGATGGGCAGGCCGTAGGCAAGCGTCTTACCGCTGCCGGTCTGCGAGACACCGACGACATCGCGCTTCTTGAACGCCGAGGAGGACGTGGATGGCCCGTCGCTGTCGGAGGAGTCGTCTTGCTGCAGACCGAGTGCGAGCGGGATGGAGCGGTTCTGGATCTCGGTGGGGCTGTGGAAGCCCTTGTGAGCCAGGGCCCGCTTGAGCGCAGCGTGCAGAGGCAGGTGGGACCAGGCGGGCAGTGATGAGTCGTCGAACTCGTCGTCGTCTTCATCGTCGTGCAGGTCGAGATTGTGGGCGTTGCGGAAAGCTTCTGCGAGATCGTCATCGTCCAGGTCCGATTCGGCGTCTTGGTCGGCGATGGTGTGGTCTGCAGCGGTCTCGTATGCGTCGGACTCGGCGTCCTCGAGGACTGCCGCCGATTCGTCGGCGTGACCGGGTGATGCTGGCTCCGGCGCCGGCTCTGGCTCCGACTCGGACGCGACCTGGTCGATGGATCTCTTTTTCGACTTTTTCGGCTTCTTGGCCTTCTTCTGGGTGGTCTCGGGCTGGTTTGCTGGAGCGGACGAGCTGGAGGCAGGAGCCGGTTTGTTGTTTTTGGACTTGAGCTTCTTGTCCGAGGCGAGGAAGCTGATGGTGCGCGAGCCATCTGGACGAGCCTCCTGGACGATGTCGACGTCTTCGATCTCCTGAAGCCCCATAAAGTCATCGTCATCCCAGTTGAGCGAGCTGAAGAAGTCGGACTCGGTCTGACCTGCGCCGCCGGACTGCGCTTCGGAGGGGAGGTGGACGGTGGACCATGCGAGCTTGGTGGGGTCGACGACGGTGCGCGCCGAGGCAGCAGGCTTGTGGGTGATCTTCGGCCTCTTGGCCGCTGGGATCTGTGGCTTCTTTTGTGTGTGCTTCGGCTTGACCATGGTTGCGAGTGTGTCAAAGCTGAGAGGAGGTGGTGGTTGAACGAAAAGTTGCGGTTGCATTTCGGTATTGAATTTTTCGCGCAGCACCAACGCTGAACCAACCCACTTTTTTTTTT